GTTTTTGAATATGTGAGTTATTTACATGATTGAAAAGTCAAAACTGTGTAAAGATACTCAGAGAGTTCTTGCTTTCACCCCTGTTGCTATTCCCATCTCACCCACCCTTCAGAAGTAGCCATTTCCATTTTTTTTTTAACTCTCACTCTTAGGATATGCTTAAGTTACTCCATTTTCAACATTTCTTGTTTATTACTTTTTCAAAAAAAAAGGTACATATACATATGCATAAGTACGTGTGTGTATGTGTAAATGTGCCCTAGTTTATTCAACCAGTTTCCTATTCATGAGTAGTTGTACTGGTTTCGAAGAGTCACTGAGTCGAAGGGTAGAAGAACATGTAGTTTTGTTAATTACTGCCAGATTTCCCTCCAGCGGAGTCGTGCCATGTTGCAATCCCGCCAGCAGTGTGTGGAAATACCTGTTTCTCCCCAGGTTTACCAACAGAGTATGTTGTCAAGCTTTGGGACTTCTGCCTAAGAACTGTGAAGGGTCTGAGATTTTTGCCCTCCTTGCAAGGTGGATGCCTTTCCCTGGTGGGCTTTGGTCACAGCAGAAGAACACTGAGATGAGGAAACCCCCAGTCTTATTAGGAGCTGCTAAAAAACCTACATAACCTTTGTTCTGGAGGAATATGTTGTTTTTTTGTCTTAGGTGACAAATCTACCCTCTGTCCTTCCAAGATGTTTGCAACGCAAAAGACATTGAGAAGAGAAGCTGTCAAAAGATGTATGGAAACACCATGAAGGGCTGTCTCTCAACATTGCCAATCTGAAAAGGGAAGAATAATATTTGAGTATATGCTGTCCAGTACCTCTGTGAATACCGAAATCCACAAATGCTCAAGTTCCTTATGCAAAATATGGTAGTGTTTGCATATAACCTATGCACATACTCCAGTAGATTACTTATAATACTTCATACAATATAAATGCTATGTAATAGCTGATACACTCTGTTATTTAGGGAATACTGATAAGAAATAAAAGTCTGTACATATTCAGAACAAACACAATTTTTTTTCCAAATACAGTCATGCGCTCCTAAGGACGTGTTTGACTACATATGCAATATAGCCTATGTGTGTAGTAAGCTATGCCATCTAGGTTTGTGTAAGCGCACTCTATGATGTTTGCACAATGGTGAACTCGCCTAACAACACATTTTTGAGTATGTATCCACATCATTAAGCAATACATGACTGTCACTTCTATCCATGGTTGATTGAATTTACAAATGTGGAATCCGTGGATGCCGAGAGCTGACCATGTTTTAATTTGCATTTCTTTTATAACAAGTGATGCTGACTATTTTTACAAGCACTTCACAGACATTTGCCTTTCATCTTCTGTCCCTTAAGACTTTTGGCCATTTTCCTACTAGGTTTTTTTTACTTCAAAAACTTTTTTTTTTTAAACAGAGTCTCTCTCTGTCGCCCAGGTTGGAGTGCAGTGGTATGATCTCCATTCACTGCAACCTCTGCCTCCAAGATTCAAGTGATTCTCCTGTCTTAGCCTCCTGATTCGCTGGGACAGGGCACCCACCACCATGCCCGGCTAACTTTTGTATTTTTAGTAGAAACAGGGTTTTACTATGTTGGCCAGGTTGGTCTCAAACTCCTGACCTCAGGTGATCCACCTGCCTCGGCCTCCCAAAGTGCCAGGATTACAGGTGTGAGCCCCTACACCTGGCCTCTTAAACAGTAAAATCTTTTATACTTAAACAGCTTTATTGAGATATATTACACATACCATTAAGTTCACCCATTTAAAGTATACAATTCAATGGGTTTTAGTATATTTATGGAGCTGTGCAACCATTGCTATAGTACAATTTTGGAACATTTTTAACACTCCAGAAAGAAGCCCCTTACCTCTTAGTAGTCATCTCCATTCCTGGCCCTCGCTCCCACCCCACCCAGCCCTATGTGACCACTAATCTACTCTATCTCTATAGGTGTGTCTATTCTGAACATTTCTTTTTCATTTCTTTCTTTCTTTTTTTTTTTTTTTTTTGAGACAGAGTCTCGCACTGTTGCCAGGCTGGAGTGCAGTGGCGCAATCTAGGCTCACTGCAATCTCTGTCTCCCGGGTTCAAGTGATTCTCCTGCCTTACCCTCCCGAGTAGCTGGGATTATAGGCACCTGCCACCACGCCCAGCTAATTTTTTGTATTTTCAGTAGAGACAGGGTTTCACCAGGTTGGCCAGGCTGGTCTTGAACTCCTGACCTCGTGATTCACCCTCCTTGGCCTTCCAAAGTGCTGGGATTACAGGCATGAGCCACCATGCCCAGCTATTCTGTACATTTCATATAAATGGTATCACACAGCCGGGCGTGGTGGCTCACGCTTGTAATCCCAGCACTTTGGGAGGCTGAGGCTGGTGGATCACGAGGTCAACAGATCGAGACCATCCTGGTCAACATGGTGAAACCCCATCTCTACTAAAAAAATACAAAAAATTAGCTGGGCATGGTGGCGCATGCCTGTAGTCCCAGCTACTCAGGAGGCTGAGGCAGGAGAATTGCCTGAACCCAGGAGGCGGAGGTTGCGGTGAGCCGAGATTGCGCCATTGCAGTCCAGCCTGGGTAACAAGAGCGAAACTCCATCTCAAAAAAATAAATAAATAAAATGGTATCACACAATATGCAGTCTTTTGTGACTCTTACACTTAGCATAATATTTTGAAGTTTCTTCCATGTATCATGCATCAATACTCTTTGTTTTTTAGTTATTTATCTATGATGGAAATTAGCTATTTTGTGTCATTTAAACTACAAATATTCTCCTAGTTTTTCATCACCTTTGATTTTGTTTATGATGCTTTTGCCAAGCAAAACTCTATGCATATATCAGCCAGGTGTATTGGCTCACACCTGTAATCCCAAAACTTTGGGAGGCCAAGGTGGACATATCACCTGAGGTCAGGAGTTCGAGATCAGTCTGGCCAACATGGTGAAACTCTGTCTCTACTAAAAATACAAAAATTAGCCAGGCATGGTGGCATGCGCCTGTAATCCCAGCTATTCAAGAGGCTGAGGCGGGAGAATTCCCTGAACATGGAAGGAAGAGGTTGAAGTGAGCTGAAATTGCACCCCTGTACTCCAGCCTTTGTCTCAAAAAAAAAAAAGTCTATGCATATGTGTGTATATATATATATTATGTTTGTGCATATATGGATACAGCTGTAGGTATAAATGGATAGACTTGAATTTATCAATCTTTCTCCATGGCTTCTGGAATTTGAGTTACAATTAGGATAGCTTTCCTTTGTCCAGACTGTAAAGAAATTCATGTATGTTTTCTTCTTGAACCTGTTATGTTTTCATTTTTTTGTACACTGAAATAAGGGATCTGTTTGAAGTATATTCTAATATAAATTTATTTATTTATTTATTTATTTTTTGAGAAGAAATTTCATTCTTGTTGCCCAGGCTGGGGTGCAATGGTTGAATCTCGGCTCACTGCAACCTCCGCCTCCTGGGTTCAAGCAATTCTTCTGTCTCAGCCTCCCAAGTAGCTGGGACTACAGGTATGCACCACCATGCCCAGCTAATTTTTGTATTTTTAGGAGAGATGGGATTGCATCAGGTTGGCCAGGCTGGTCTTGAACTTCTGACCTCGTGATTCACCCGCCTTGGCCTCCCAAAGTGCTGTGATTACAGGCATGAGTCACTGGTGTCCGTCTTTTTTTTAGTCGGAGTTTTACTCTTGTCACCTAGACTGGAGTGCAATGGCACAATCTACACAATCTCCTGGGATCAAGTGATTCTCCTGCCTCAGCCTCCCAAGTAGCTGGGATTACAGGCCTGAGCCACTGCACCCAGTCCTAATGTAAATTAGGGACATAAACTCTCCAGTTATGCTAATGCCATTATTTAAAAGTGAATCTTTTCTGGCCTGGAGTGGTGGCTCATACCTGTAATCCCAGCACTTTGGGAAGCCAAGGCGGGTAGATCACTTGAAGTCAGTAGTTCGAGACCAGCCTGGCCAATATGGTGAAACTGCATCTCTACTAAAAATACAAAAAATTAGTTGGGCATGGTGGTGCACAGCTATTCGGGAGGCTGAGGTGAGAGAATTGCTTGAACCCGGGAGGCAGAGGTTGCACTGAGCCAAGATTGCACTACTACACTCCAGCCTGGATGACAGAGCAAGACTCCATCTCAGAAAATAAAAAAGTTAATCTTTTCCCCAGTAATTTCAGATTCCGCCTTTGTCATATGCTACATTTCCCTGTGTACTTCAAACTATTCCTACTGGTTTGAATGTCTAGCCAGGAAGCAACACCACACTGTTTTAATTATCAGATCTTTATAGTAAGTTTTAATACATGGTAAGACCAGTCCCTTTTATTGCACTTGCTTTTGAAGATGTTCATAAGTATTCTTGCTTATTTATTTTCCCATATAAGTTTAAGATTCTGTGCCAGGAAAAATTTTGCTGGCATTTTTATTGGGATTATATTAAATTTATACATGAATGTTATTAGGTTGATTGGTTCTATTCAAGACAATGAATGTGTTTCTATTTTTGTTCTATTTTGTTCTATTTTTGTGATTTTTCAGGACTATTTCAAAAAGTTTCTCATAAAGGCTTCATGTGTCATCTTTTAAACTATAATCCCATCCTCTATGAAACTAGGTCAACTGAGTATCACCAGTCATGGCTACTCTTCTCTTTGAGGAGAGGTGAGGAAGGGGGCTGCCAAAGAGCAAACACCTACATTCTTCTTCTTCTTTTTTTTTTTTTTTTTTGAGATGAAGTCTTGCTCTGTTCCCAGGCTGGAGTGCAACGGCGTGATCTTGGCTCACTGCAACCTTCACCTCCCAGGTTTAAGCAATTCTCCTGTCTCAGCCTGCCGAGTAGCTGGGATTACAGGCATGTGCCACTATGCTTGGCCAATTTTTGTATTTTTAGTAGAGACGGGTTTCACCATGTTGGCCAGGCTGGTCTTGAACTCCTGACCTCAGGTGATCCACTTGCCTCGGCCCCCTCAAAGTACTGGGATTATAGGCATGAGCCACAGCACCCAGCCCAAACATCTACATTCTACTTGCCCTGATTCTTGTTCACTCCACTGAAGATTTTACATATATTTATATTACTGGCTATGATATTAAGTAGTACTCATTGAAACACTGTCTTTAGGAAGCTTTATTGTACAATATAGCTAAGGATAATGCTATAAGGGAAATAGCTTAGAGGGTGGATTTGGGGATACAGCATATAATAGGATTTTGAAGTTAAATTGTTTTTTGACTCAATTCAGAGACTTCTGATGGGCACCCCTCATCTCCCACTAAACCGATTCCAGGAGTCAGAGAAGAAACATTTTTATTAGACTACAAAATGCAGGATTTCCCTGATACCCATCAGGGCACTTTGACTTATGAGATAGCTGTACTCAGGCTTACTCCAGGCATCACTTTGAGACCTACTAGATTAATCGTAAGGAAAACAGGGAAGAATGGGGGAAACGAAACAGCATATTTCTTTTTTCAAGTCCTTCCAACCTTGCTTCACCTTGGAGAACAATGAGGCTTATTAAGTAGGGCCAGCAGCAATCTCGTGTAGTCGTTCAGCCATCTTCTCTGTTGACTCCTCAGCCTCTTTTGCCACCCTTGAGTTATCCACAGCTTGGCTAAAATAAAAGACTTCTTCTTCCAGGTTTCTCATGCTTTAAATCTTTCCTAGTACACCTGTTCCTGCTTAAAATGTACCAGAACATCCACACAACAGTGTACTATATACCTATAAAAAGAATTGCAGAAAATCTCTATATATAACTGTCCAGTGATTTCCAGGATATATTGTTCAGAGAAAAAAAATCATGGTATAGAAAAATGTATACAGTTTGCTACTATTTATCTAAGAAGAAAGGAATAGAGATATATACAGAGATGCTTGTACTGAAAGTAAACAATGGAAATAGCCCACAGCCCTGGCCTCTGCTCACACACCCACAGAGCCCACAGCTCCACTGTACAGTGTGTGGCATTTGGGCCCTCTGTGGCAGCAACGATTGCCTCTCTGGTCAGCGTCCGTGTGCTATGAAGATCACACACAGGGGTCCAGATGCATTTCATCCTGAGAATGTCAATGGATACATCAGCTGCTGCTTTGGATTTCACCAGTTGGCGGTGGTTGACCAGCTGTTTGGGATGCAGCCAATTCAAGTGAAGAAATACCTTTATTTGTGGCTCTGTTGCAGTGGTGAAATTTACAACCACGAGAAACTATAAGACCATTTTGAATTTCATTACAAGGCCAAAGTGGATGGTGAGATAATCCTTCATCTTTATGACAAAGGAGGGACTGGGCAGACAATTTGTATGTTGGGTTGAGTCTTTGCATTTATTTTATTAAATACTGTCAGTAAGAAAGTATTCCCGGTCAGAGACACCCACCTAGAGAGTCATCACTGTAGAGATTAACCTCTGCATGCCCTCTATAACAGTGTGGAGAAACCATTTTGAGATAGAAACTGTGAAGAGCAACCTCTGGATTCCTTTTGACAGTGCTATTAAGAAACGACTGATGACAGAGAAAAGGCTTGGATTCCAGCTTCATTGCTGCCACTCTGTTGATGCAGCAGAAAGAATCCCAAGTGTAAGACACTCTCTAGACATCTGTGATTGGCATGGGAAACAGTCTGAAGGTACTGGCTCCTAGAAAAGTGGAAAATTGTATTGAGAGTGAACACCACTCTGAGGAAAGGCATTCAGGTCCTAGAGGAAGTAATATTTTCCTTGGAAATTTAAGACATAACAATAGTTCACACTTCAGTAGGTAGGTATTTAATTTCCAAGTATACTTGAAAGAACACAGATAGCATAGTGATCTTCTCTAGAGAAGGTTCAGATGAAATTACACAGGGTTACATAGACTCCTCCTCAGGAAAAAGCCGAGGAGAGTCAGGGGCTTCCGAAGGTCTCTGTTTGATGCACTGTGTGCATCTTGACCTGCTGCTGCCCACGCAACCTTGACTGACAGTCTCATTCCTAGATCATCTATTTTCTTCTTATTGCCTCTGGTGCCAGAAATAAGAATTCTGAAGAATGAGATGGGATAACATCTCCTGATAAAGATATTTGAGTACTATACTTGATACCTAAAGAGATTCTCTGGCAAAAAGAAGCCTTCAGAGATGGGATAACCTCAGTTAAGATTTCCTGTTTTAGGGTTTTACAGGAATATCCTGAACATTATGTTGATGATGTAATGATGGCAACTGCAGCACTTAAAGCTAAATAAGGCTATTACAGCAATCTACAAATTCAGTGCAATTCCCATTTAAATACCACCATCGTTCTTCACAGAACTAGAAAAAACAACCCTAAAATTCATGTGGAACCAGAAAAGAGCCCGCATAGCCAAAGTAAGACTAAGCAAAAAGAACAAATCTGGAGGCATCACATTACCTGATTTCAAACTATACTATAATGCCACAGTCACAAAAACAGCATGGTATTGGTATAAAAATAGGCATAGACCAATGGAACAGAACAGAGAACCCAGAGATAAACCCAAATACTTACAGCTAGTTCATCTTTGACAAAGCAAACAAAAACATAAAGTGGGAAAAGGACACCCTTTCAACACCTATTCAACAAATGGTGCTGGGATAATTGGCTAGCCACAGGTAAGAGAATGAAACTGGATCCTCCTCCCTCACCTTATACAAAAATCAACTCAAGATGGATCAAGGACTTAAATCTAAGACCTGAAACTATAAAAATTCTACAAGATAACATCAGAAAAACCCTTCTAGACATTGGCTTAGGCAAGGAGTTCATGCAAATGCAATAAAAACAAAGACAAATTGGTAGGACTTAATTAAACTAAAGAGCTTTCGCATGGCAAAAGGAACAATCAGCAAAGTAAACAGACAGCCCACAGAGTGGGAGACAATCTTCACAATCTATATATCTGACAAAGGAATATTATCCAGAATCTACAATGAACTTAAGCAAATTAGCAAGAAAAATAACAAACAATCCCATCAAAAAATGTGTTAAGGAGAATAGACAATTCTCAAAAGAGGATATACAAATGGCCAACAAACACGTGAAAAAATGCTCAACATCATCAATGATCAGGAAAATGCAAATCAAAATCACAATGTGATACCACCTTATTCCTGCAAGAATGGCCATTATCAAAAAAATAAAAAAATAATAGATGTTGGCATGGATGTGGTGAAAAGGGAACACTTCTGCACTGCTGTTGGGAATGTAAACTAGTAAAACCA